ACATATTCGTCTCTGATTACTATATAATAAAAGGTTTTGATGGAGGTTGAACACGGAGGCAGACAGGCAGGCACGGGGTTGAGGAGCGGAGGAGCCGTTCATTCGACGCTGGGCTGCGATTTCGACTGGTGGTAGCGTTGGGCAGACGGCAGAAAGAACGGACTCGGACTCTCTGGCCCATCCCCGTGTCTTGCCTGCCGACCTTTCCGCCATCGCTAGGACAACTTCGTAATCCTCATCCGCGCTAGAGAGAGAACGAGAGAGAGAGAGAGAGAGAGAGAGAGAGAGAGAGAGAGAGAGAGAGAGAGAGAGAGAGATGGCTTCGTCAGCTGCTGCTCCGTTGATCGTCTCGTTCGGGGAGTTGTTGATTGACTTCGTGCCAACSGTGAATGGATTGTCGCTCGCGGAAGCGCCGGCGTTCAAGAAGGCTCCAGGCGGCGCGCCAGCCAACGTTGCCGTGGGTGTGGCGCGATTGGGCGGGAATTCCGCGTTTGTGGGGAAGGTAGGGGATGACGAATTCGGCAGGATGYTGGCCGCGGTGCTGGAGACGAACAAGGTGGATGTTTCCGGCATGACCTTCGACACGAACGCGAGAACGGCGCTCGCTTTCGTCACGCTGAAGCTCAATGGCGAGAGGGAGTTYATGTTCTACAGAAACCCGAGCGCTGATATGCTGTTGACGCCTGAGGAGCTGGACAGGAAGCTGATCGAGAAAGCCGCCATTTTCCATTACGGATCGATCAGTTTGATCTCTGAACCGAGTCGATCGGCGCATCTGGAGGCGATGAAGATGGCCAAGGCCGCWGGCGCCGTCCTTTCTTACGATCCCAACCTTCGTCTGCCTCTATGGCCGTCCGCCATAGCTGCCAAGGAAGGCATGCTGAGCATCTGGAAGGAGGCCGACATCATCAAGGTCAGCGACGAGGAGCTGCTCTTCCTCACCGGGGAGAAGGAGGTGAGCGAGCAGGTCGCCCGCAGTCTGTGGCACGACGACCTCAAGCTCCTCGTCGTGACTCGCGGAGAGGATGGCGCCGACTTCTACACGAARAGCTTCTCYGGACACGTGGACTCGTTCAAGGTCGAGACKATCGACACCACCGGCGCAGGGGATGCTTTCGTCGCGGCGTTGCTTGTCCGGATCGCGGCTGATCGGTCCATCTTGGACGACAAATCCAAGCTCGAGTCCACKCTGCGATATGCTTGCGCCGCCGGTGCMATCACCACCACAGAGAGAGGAGCGATCCCGGCTCTCCCTACTCCCGAGGCCGCCCTCGCGCTTCTAGCAAAAAACGTCACTGTCTAGAGCCGTGTTCACAGCATTGGGATCCTTACTTGGGGTCAAGCGGAGTTTCGCGATGGACCTCATCGTCGCCAAAAAAAGCTTGAGGCTGAACTTGTCGTCGGGTCCTTGATTTCTCCCTTCTTGGTTCCATTTTCCACATCTCGCGCTGTTTTATCTCATGGCCTTTCTTCCTCCCGCCCCATCGTTTTATCTCATTGCCTTTTATCCTTCCACACCATCAATAACTGAGCGGATGATTATTCGCTGTTTTAAGTTGGTAGGTGGGGTGATGTGTTTTTTTTGGTTTTATATATATTTTTTTCCGTTGATTCTGTCGGTTTCGCGATGGATCTGCTTTTCACATATTCATTATGATTATTCATTGAATTTCGTGAATAAGTACGACATTGTTCGTGCATTTTTTATTGTTCATTTGTAAGATGCTTGGCGACGTTTCGCGTTCTGCGTGGTAAAAAATTGTCGTCTCCGATTGGTTTACCACTTGCGGGGGACAAATGCTGACGCCGATTCCACTCTGATGAGAGATTTGTGTTCATTTATTACATTTGTCAATACGATCCATTAATGAGTTGTGGCACAGGGAGTCAGAGGACAGACGGACAAGCGATGGGCCTTCTGCTTTTTTCTGTATTCGATGAACATTGCTCTTTTCCATCATTCTTCAATTATTCCTTGACAAACGTTCTGAACAACAAAAACTTCGCCTTTCAGTCTGCCTATCCGTCAGCTTGTCCCAATCTGTCTGTCTTTTGGTGTGCTTCTAGCCAAAAATTTCTCCTTTTCTGACTGTGTTCTCGTCTGTTTCTATCACTGTGCCCTCTCTCTCTCTCTCTCTCTCTCTCTCTCTCTCTCTCTCTCTCTCTCTCTCTCTCTCTCTCTCTCTCTGTGTTTGTGTGCGCGCACTTGTGTGTGTGTGTGTGTGCGCGCGCGCGCGTGTCTGTGTGTATGTGTGCGCGCTATCATCTTCGCTTTCAACAACTCCAGAGAAAGAACATGATTGCTTCAGGCTGCTTCGTCGGAGTATCTACATCTCATCACGAGTTTGGGCCCCCCGACAGTCTGCCCAGGATCCATTCGACTGATTGATGATTAGACACCACCTCGCCCTACACACCACCTCGCCTAGAATGAGTGCCATATGCCTCTGTCAAAATGCTCGGCTTTACTCACACGAACCGTGCGTTACTAGCAGACACGAGTTCCAAATCCCGAGGGAGTGTGTGGGTGTGTCTTTTCCCCTCTTCACCCTCCCCGCAGTTGGACTCCTTTCCTTGTGTCCGCGTCTCTGTATATCTATGGCCGCGTTCCTCTTTTCTGTTCTTTTCTTTCCCCTCCACGCGTAAACTGGATATATAGTCATCGAGTATCTCTAGGGCCCGCTACCGAGGGGAAGGTCACACGTACGTGGAACAAGAGGCATGGGCTGTCGATCTTCGTTATTATCTATGGATGCAAGCGGCCCCTTCACCCGGGACATCGAACCCACTGCCCGTAGACAGAGCTCCGACTGCTGACACCCTCAAAGGGATTGAGGCCATCTTAGCTCGATCGTGCAGGTCACCGGTTTTCTGTCTAGGCCGAGGCTGACGTGAGAGGCAGACAGCAGTAGCTGCTACTCGTGTATGAAGTCGGACTTACACAAGCTGTTGTTTTGCAAAACCAGCCCCGAGGTTCCCACCTGCCAAAGGGACCTCTCTAACAGCCATTTTGCCTTGACCCCATCCAGGGACAGGGCCGACTTCCCAACCAGTCTCACTTCCACTGCTAACGTCTTCACGCGAATAGAACGGCCCGTAATTGTGTCTTTATGGAGACTGAATAATACAGCTACAATCACTGAGTGTTCTTCTTCTTCTTCTTCTTTTTTTTTTTTTTTTTTAAACGCACAACACATGCACCCCCAATTTGGGAGGAAAAGAGAAGAGAGATAGACCGGGTAGAACAAGCGGCCACCTCAGCCCTGCAGTTGGTCTTCCCCTGAATAGAACACACGGTCATTATAGCCGTATTTAGCTCACGTTTTAGTCCACGTGCAGAAGGAAAGGGGGGCTGCACCACTACCAATCTCGTGCCCCTCTGCGGCCCATCTGCCGGTTAACTCATGCTGGTCAGTTAAGCTCCACATGGTACACAGACGCTCCGCATCACGCTCCCTAGATAATCCCGCCACTGACCAGTGTGACGCAGAGTGGGTGTTCTGTTTGTGTGAACACTGAAGACCTAAACGCAGCACCACGGCCCGCCGCTCAAAGAATCAACGGTGGCCCGACCCCCTAATAGGTCTCCCACTCCCTACCAACGGTGTTAACGGCCACATATCTGTTTTTCAACAGGGGAAAGCGGCAGTTCACCTCTCTCTTCCCTTCTCCGCCATTGCTCCCATCCCTCATTGAACTGAGATGGTGCAGTCGGCAGTTCACCTCCTTCAAATGAGGCATTGGCGACCACAGCAATGACAAGGGTAAGCGTGCTCCCTCCCGTCGGTGGAGCATGGCCTGGCAGGGGGGCAGAGAGATGGAGATTGGACGCCGGTGGGCTGTGGCGCCGTTGCCCTCTCTCTCTCTCTCTCTCTCTCTCTCTCTCTCTCTCTCTCTCTCTCTCTCTCTCTCTCTCTCTCTCTCTCTCTCTCTCTCTCTCTCT